GTGGAGATCGTGCGTCCCAAGACGCCTGCCCAGAAATCTTTTGGAAAGCAGTTCAAACTGAAGCTTTTTGGGTCGAAAACCGTCCCACGAAAACGTTCCACCAGCGAGTCTGATCCGGAGTACGTTACAGCGAAGAAAAGTTGATTTAATTTTAATGACGAACTTGCAGAATTTTCCAGCACTAGTGCACTAAGCAGGTCTTTCCCACGGCGCAATAGATTACTGCCAACGGTGCCACCTCAAGCGGAAATGCGATTCGAGACCGGGTTGACGTTGATGCTCAAAAGCGAGAAAATGTTCCGGATTTCTCTACCCATGCGAATGTCAGCTGGTATCACACTGCTTACAGGTACTGAGGGAGAACCTTCTAAAACTTCTAGTGATTGGACTGGTGGTATGGCACAAAGAATGCACAATTGACGAGTGCACGGATGGATTTGAGTTCACTCACTCGACAAAAAGTGACACAACAGCGGGGCCCTGTTTACTAAAAATGAACACATATGTGTTCATTTTTAGTAAACAGGGCCCCGCTGTTGTGTCACTTTTTATCGAGTGAGTGAACTCAAATCCATCCGTGCACTCGTCTATGCACCACGAACCGACGGAGAATCGTATGTGCTGTGATCAATGTGATTGGTGAGGCAGAAGGAAACAAGCCAGCACTTGCATTATCACGACGTTCTTATGCATAATCTAGTGTGACGAAACGTTGGATCATGCGTAAGAACACCGTGAGAACGACAGAGTCGACTACATTCCTTCTGCCGCACCTATAGTAACGCACACGGCTCCCGCGCTGACTGTTCCTTACTTTCTCACTCTAATCAAAATTTCCTTCGATGAGTGAGAAAACAGCACCCCGTCAACACAAGCAAGGACACGAGTTGCCAGATCATTGCACACAAAACCAACTTGAATTAATTCAAAACAAAAATACTAGCGAACCTGGCGGTGAGGGGCGGAAGGTGGACTAAAATTCTATTGGCAAATCAAAGTTGGCACGCGTGGAGAATAGAAGAACTATGAAAGTGATGATGGTTTCAAAGTTTTCCACGGGGAAGTATACGAGTGCAATCTTAAAATGCTTTTATTTTGTGAATGGAGCATTTTATTTAAATCTGGTTAATGCTACGTTAGTAGAAAACTTCAGGACTACTCAATAGACATATAATACAGAAAACATAATTTCTTTTCAGATTTTTAGGTGTAAACATAGACTTCCGCTTTTCTATCACTGTAGCAGTAACCAGATTTAAATAAAATGCTCCATTTTCAAAATAAAAGCATTTTAAGATTGCACTCGTATACTTCCCCGTGGAAAATTTTGAAACCATCATCACTTTCATAGTTCTTCTATTCTCCACGAGTGCCAACTTTGATTTGCCAATTACAGAGAACCACATTATTTTAATTCATTTCTTCGGAGAAAGTCGTCTGTAACTTCGTTTGTGACAGACGGAGCGGCTCGAAATTTGATTTGACGCACTTACATTTGAAGTTTTCGAGTGTACCTCACGGCAACACTATCTACTCATATGTACTAGCTTAAAGTAGGAAGTACCGTATGTTATCTCTTTTTCTCTAACGAAAATTTAAAGGGAGAGCCTGTTGTCAAACAGCATGTCATTATGACGTTTAGTTTTTTATCTGCTTTTCTTTTGTATAACAAAAGATCATATGCCAAAATGATTAGGGGTGAACACATCGGGTTAACATTTGCTTAGAAGTAAACGATGTTGAGCTGCCAATGACTCGCGCTTGTTGCCATTGTTGCTAGATTTCTTCAGTCCGTGCTTCTAACCAAAGTTAGAGTCAACCGCGACTGAGAAGACATCGACAGAACTCCTCCGTAGCGGAACTGTTGACGCTTTTCGGGGAGTCGGAGCACAAACGAAGTGACAGACGACTAACTGGTGAAGAAATTCATTTAAATAATGTGGTTCACTGTAATAGAATTTTCTTGGAAGCTTGTGCCATCATCCACCAGATGGGTTAGTTTTTTTGTTTTGATTTGAACAAAGTTGATTTTGTGTACAATGATTCTTTGACAGTGTGCAAAGAGTGCGTATCATTTTGTCATTTTTTTATGCATTTCAGTTTTGAGTAGAGTGAAAGAGATAGAACCAAAATATTCTAGTACATTTGGTGAAAATGCTAGTTCAATCCAATAGTAGTGTTGCCATGTGGTACAATCCAGTAGTAGTGGTGTTGCCATGTGGTACATTGAAAAATTGCAATAGAAGGTTAGTCACCAAAGTTTTCGAGCCGCTCCGTCTGTCACTTCGTTTGTGGTCGGAGGATGGTGATAGGAAGGAGGACCTACTGCATTTGGAGGCATTGCTGGAAACACTGAGGTACCTGATTGGAGTTTGTCACGAGGCGGTGGATGGAATTCGATGCCGATGCCGGAAGGTGGTAAGTTTAGTTCAGCCATAACATTTGATAACGGCACAAAAGCATTTGTAAACAAACTTTCTAAGGCCCTTTACACGCGAACCAAAGTACGCCCACGCAAACCAACATCATCGGATAGGGGCAACTATCACTTTTCCGAAAGTGGTATTGGTATTCGCGTGTAAAGGGCCTTAGAAAGTTTATTTACAAATGCTTTTGTGCCGTTATCAAATGTGCCTGAGTTGATTTTGGATTCTGGATTCTGTATAATAAATTTTACTTTTTCAGCATAAACTACACATATTAGTGCAATGCGCTTGCTTGCTGGAAGATTGCACATACGAGTCAAAAGTCTAACACTGCTTCTTGATGCCAAACTCGGCCTACGGATTCTAAACTCGGCTAACGCATTGAAACGCCAATGAATTCACTTCGGCCTATCGGATGAAGATAAAAATTGATTCGAACGGAGCGCTTCTTTTGTTTTTGTGAATTATGGGTGCAAAGCTTCAAATCACGCATTCTCATTGACTTTGTTCAATAGCTAATTGACTAAAGTATCTTACCAAACCCATAATTGTTAACTCTGAAATCATGGATTTATTTGATGTTTTCTGCTTGATCGGCCCAAAATAGGTTTGTGGTTATGCGAATACATAAACCGCATACTTCACAATAAATATTTGCATAAAAACTATACATCTAAATATATGTTCTTTCATAACATTTCAACCAATAAATAAGCACCAACACAACCGATTGCAGAAATTCCCTTATAAACTCTTATTTATTTGCATCCTTACGACAGTTTACATTAGTTTAGAAGTTGCTTCCGGATGGGTTAGAGCCCGTGGCGATCTAAACCATGTAACCATGGTACGTTGTACGGCGGGAATATCCCACTTCTTCTCGGTGATCTTCATGGCGAATATCGGGCCGATCGCTGACGTACACTTTCGGCGGCGAAAGCGAAGGCAGCGGTCCAAACTTATTGCTCAGCATATCCGAAGGATTTGTTGTTACGTTGGCATTCTTCTGCGAGATGAGGTTATTTTTGCGGGTGCTCCGCTTCATTCACAGCATGTAGTATTACGTATTTCGATAACCAGTCCTTCATTTCTTCGGTGGTGATGTCATCGGTATCGTCCTCCCTGGGTCGTTGCTGCTGCTGCTGGTGTAGTTTTGGCGTTCCACTTAGCTTGTTTTCCACGAAAACCTCCCCGTTGCGGATGCTGTAGTTGTTGCGTACGATGTGCGTCTTCTTTCCTGGGGGAGCAGCTGTCGGGTTTGGCTGGAAATTATGATGACGATGTGAATGGTGATGGTGCTGGAAGTATCTATTTAGGGTCAGACTACACAGAAAAAAATGTAATATCGAACGTAATTCAAGCTGATGTATGAAATAATGATGTAATAGCAAAAAGCAGATACAATATTACATCAATGGACGTAATTTTGTTCGCAAAATCGATGTACATCGTACAACGTAATATTACATAACCGGCGGAATGATCTCTGTGCAGCTGTTTAGGTGTAATATTCAACAACTTTTTTTTTTCTGTGTACCATTAACCCATGTTACATTACGGAATATTTAAGGTGATTCCTTGTAGAGTCCGCCACGTAGGTTATACAATGCTCTTCCACTTCGAATTTTCATTCACACAACTCTTGGCAATTAATGCCCCATTTCACATGAAATTGCTACTTGATGTATGCTGCAGTACAGCAAACGTGGAGTAACAGTTTCATTGTGGTACGTGTCGTAGAAGCTGATATTTGTGCACTTAAAGTTTCGAAGTGGAAACGAGAATAAGGATCTCACAGCGAAACACCTTAAAAAGCATCTAACAACTAAGGAGAGCAACTCTGCTGCATAATTAAAAATGTAAGTGGGCGAAGGGAATCTAATGTTGATTTATGGATCTGAACCTTGACCTCAACGATAAAAATGTTCTTTATTGATGAAAGCTTTATACACGGCGAATGAGGACGACCCAAATTTGAGTTTAGTTCACTCATAATCGTCAAAAGTACAGGAACTCAGCGATGAGTAAATTTGTCTCATGGTTCCCTAAAAAATCTGCCGGTAAATCCTGGAAAAACCTGGGAAAACATGAGACAAATTTTACTCATAGCTGAGTTCCTGCACTTTTGGCGATTATGAGTGAACTAAACTCAAATTGGGGTCGTTCTCATTCGCCGTGTATGGGAGGTACAAGTCGACAGTGAGCATGCATAAGGGCCTATACGCGATGATCGATTCTCTTCATCGATTTTCTCTTTTGTTAATAACTCGCTAGATTTAACGTTTCTCGGTACGTTTGCTATTGCTTTTGATAGCTAATACAACTTGTTACAACTCTGCTTTGAACAAATTCTAGAAAATTGTTTCGCTTAGCTGTAGCAATGCAAAGAGAAATTCGATGAAGAGAATCGATCATCGCGTATACGCCCTTATGAATGCTCACTGTCGAAGTGTATATTTTACCCGAGCAAAGTCGGAGATCAAAATATCATCACGGTAAGAAAAGACACGGTAATAAAAAAGTACCCGAATGGGGTTATTAAAAATGTTGTCTACTTACTTCTATATGTCAATTGTAAATTTCCGCCTCTTCTTGTAGTTGTATATGTTTAAGGGCTTCTTCACGATTAGGAAAACGATAAATTTTAGTAAAGATTCTTATTGCCCATTCATACACGAGAACGTCGTCAATAACGTCGGTGAACTGAAAAATGAAATAAAAAATCGGAGTTTAGTGAGGGTGAATGGAAAACGTTTATTTTTAAATGCATTACCAATCCTGTATCTTCAGGTGAAACCAGTTGGCTGTCTAGATATAATACCATCGCGTAAAGTTGGTCATCCGTAAAAATTCGACAGACTTGTTCAAATGAAGCCAACGTGTGAATTTTGGCCAATTGATAACTGGAAAATGTTTTATACTTGTCGAAAATACATTGGAGTTCAGGCTTGAATTCTGCAAATGTGTCGTTTATTTCAGCTATTGTTAATCGGAAGCAATCTCTAAAAAATAGAGCGTTAGCGAAAAAAATACTAAAATTTATCTTAAAAATTCGCTTAAACTGATACCTTTTCTCGACTTCAATTTTTCGTTGTTCTGGTAAATGTTTCAGTAATTCTTCTAGCGCTTTAATGCATTCGTTCATTTTTTGGTTTTCCTGATCTTCGCCTGATTGGCTATTATTTTCGCCGTCAACATCAAGAGGGTTTTCTTCATTAACATATTCCGTATTATGTTCAAATCCATCATCAGGACAGTTTACATATTCTGTTTCAAATGGTTGGCTATGGACATTGCTATCATTTCGTGTAGTGGATGTAGAACAGGTCGATTTCGTTGTACGAGATTTCATATTCTTTCTGGATGTTTGTACATTACTCGGGATACCCAGCCTCCTGGCTTTTGTGTTCTTTTTCATTCTTTTGGTATTTTTATTGTTAAGATTTTTCTGCTGAATTTTTCGAACCTCTGCTTTAATGAATGTATTAAAGAGTCTATTGATAACCTTATTGAAACAGTTATAGCACATCACGGATTCATATTGATCGTATTCGATATATTCTTTCAGTCGTAGTTTAATACCTTTCCTATTGTCATTCAATAATATCTGGAACTTTTGCTTGAATGCGTTCAGAACATCCAGACCTATTTTTAACGCATTTTTACTTGGAACTATGAAGTGTTTCGAATTGAGGTTTTTTTTCAGCAAGCAGAAAGTGTAATCGTGTGCGTCGTCAGCCTGTGACTGGTTTAGCTTTTTAATACATTTTTTGTGAGTAAGCTTAGATATTGAATATCCAGTGACGTATAACAATGCATTTCTTTCCAATACATCAGGAACTGGTACATTTTCTTCAAGAGGATCGAGCGGCCGTAATACAAATTCATCACATCCTTCCAAAGGGTCGTTTTCAAGAAGATCGTTTTGGTCAGATTCATTACACGCTATAGGTACGTGGTTGTCGTCTTCACAATTCGTGTTTGTTATTGAAAGCATGTTTTTTTTTATGCAACTATATTTTAGAGCAGTTCCAAATTGCTGAGCGTTTGGCGTATCGTTGTTACCGCAGGCCCGCCTTACGCACGAAAACTCGTTCTCGAGTGGATCTTGATTTAACTTGTTGGTTCGCAAGAAGTTAAACGAGTGTTCTTCGGATAGAACTATCCATAACTTTTTTAGTCCATAGATATTATGTATCAACCCGTTGACACAAGGTGGATTTCTTTGAATCGAGTTCATGTTTTGTGAGCTGTTTCGCGCCTAAAAGTAATTTGTATTTCAACACATCTAATCACACAACTTAAGTGCACGTTGGGGAACGGGAGGGGTGTAGTCCGGCATCTTAACTTTTAAATGTACAAGGGTTAAAAAAATGGAAAACGTTTCAAAATGGATTAATTTCACACTTTCTGATTTTTAAAAGTTACAAACAATGAAAAACTAATTGATCCTTTCAAATAAACGATCTAGCTAAAAAAACCAATTTAAATTTTTTCCGCAGTGTTGTTTTCAAACATTGTACATTTAAGGGTTAAGCATTATGATTATTTTAAAATAATTGAAAGCTTTTATGGTTGATTTTCCCACGCAGAGTATTTACCTAGACTGTTTTGAATAAAATAGTGTGTGGTAGCAGGGTTTAAAAAAGGTTTGTTGGGTTGTGCTGATTAACATGCTGGTGAGCGCATACTGCTCACAAGAATCGTTATCAGCATAATTTAACAATTTTTCTCATCTGATTGACCAATACAATTATTCGAAAGGGGAAAATTTCCTCCAGCCGATGATGTTGTTGGTTTACGTGGGCGTTGTTCGGTTCACGTGTAAGAGGCCTTACAATTTTTGTTTGCAAAAGCTTTTGTGCCATTATCAAATGTCACCCCTGATATTCAACATATCTTTATAAAAAAAACTATACAGATTGTTTTTTCTTATAAAGCATCAAAGGTCTCTCAATAAGCAGAGACAGACGTATTGCAGTATGATGTAACAATGGACAAACTATAGAATATATGATCTCATAAATATTGATTCCAACTGATTTCATGAATGAATGAAATAAGGTGAATGCGAAAAAAAGAAATCATTTACATTTTGAAGAAAATGGACAAAATTATTGTAAAATTTGATTTACCTTATGTGAATTAAAGCAGGATTGTGGAATGAATACCATCTGCTGCAGCTGATTCAGCATTTTATCTAAAACAGACCAATGCTCACTCGTACCAGTAATAGCTGAACGAAAAGGCTAAAATTGAAAGATATATATGTAAGTACTGACATTAGCTTAATATTGTAAGAAGAATTACCTTTCCGGTTTCATTAATAAACCGAGAGTTGAATATATCGAAAAGTTGGTCAATGTCGTTTATAAATTCAGATGTTGCTAAAGAGTCAACCGGCATCGATCCCAACGAAATGTTTGTTTCTATCGCTTTGGCTGTCGTTCGACTAAGAGTGCGCGTTGCTAATTTTACGTTCATCCTTTCGAACGTGTTAGGATATACGGCCTTTTTTGTAAGGTGTGGTGCCAAGCGTGGAATCCTTGATAGGTCAGATTTGTACAGATCTCTTATGTATTTGAATGATACAATTTTGTTGTTTAGTAGTATATTTTTCACCAGTAAATTGTTGCGTATTGATTTAAACAAATGGGGTGTATCGTACAGAAGTACGACTGTACTGTCGTCAACTTTAAAAGTAGGTTCTTTTGCAGTTACCTCCAATTCATGCGCCATCTTTACATTTGTGGGATGCTGGTCCATGATAACTACAACAGGGACTAATCCTACTCCTTTCAATGACACAATTGCTTCCGTTATTATATCTTTTTGTCTTCCACTTCCGAGTGTCCCATGTGCTAGGAAGTAGCCGATGACCTAAAATATTGATCATTTTGAATATGGACTATTCTACGAAAAGGGTTACTACGAAATATTGTACAATCGATTTGATGACTTACTACATTCTACTACTACTACTACTAATACTACTACTACTAATACTACTACTACTAATACTACTATTACTAATATTACTATTACTAATACTACTATTACTAATACTACTATTACTAATACTACTATTACTAATACTACTATTACTAATACTACTATTACTAATACTACTACTACAGTGAGCTCGTTTTGGCAACACAACTGTGACCTTACGGTATTTTTGACTAAACACCAAATCCAAATACTATAATAAATACTAAAGAGCCTGAATTTATAAAGAGACGACTTGTCAAAATTGGAACAATCGATTATCTGTCAAAGACATAGGAAAATTTATTCCCATCGAGCAGAAGACCTGTCAAATGGATAAGATGTCGTCTTTTATGAATTCAAGCTCTTTAATAAATACATATTTAGATTACAATACAGTAAAATCTCGTTTTGGCAACGCAAATTCTTCATCTATGTTTCCAAAATGGAGACCTTTTTCAACGTGTCAAAGTTGAGTGTTAAAATGACTTAACAATAAGAATCAATGCGACCTTAGTGAATCCTGTTCAAAAACTGCGAAAATAATGGTATTTAAGAATATATAAACAAAATTCAAATTTTCATGTTGCCAAAAGCCATTTTGGCAACATTGACTTTAACTTGCTTTAAAATTACGTAATATAATTTTCAAATATTCCCCAGCGTATAATTTCATCAAATGTACCATTATTTTTGAAAAATATAATTTTTGCATACTTTCAAGAGACATTTCTAAGTGGAACTGACAGCTAGGAATCTAGAGTGTGTGAGTGCTCTGGTGTTAATGGTGCTGAAGGTAAACATAAACAAAGCAGAAATTCATATAAGAATAAACTGCCAGTTCTACTGTGATCTGTCAAAAGTTCTTGGTAAACAAAAAAGTCAGCTGATCGCAACTGTCTCGTGAACAGCCTTATAGCACAGACAAACAGACATAACACTCGCAAGTTGTTAATCGAACAAGCATTTAACGATCAATTTAAAAGTATCGTAGTTGGTAGTAAAGCCATCTGAGGCGCGCATAGTCAATTCTTTTGAGTTTGACTTTTACACACTATCGCCATCTGTTGAGCGTACTGCCCATCACAGTGTACTCAACAGATGGCGGTAATGTTTTAGTGACGATGTTTAACAGTGAGAAATATTCAATATGTTATGTCTATTTGTCTATGCTTATAGGATTCATTTACATAAGGTGAAGGCTTATGCTATACACATGCTGTTTATGCTAGAACAAATCGATAAAATGCCTAGTCGATTTGTCCCACTTGAAATATTGGACGCAATGTTGTCCCACTGGAATTTTTTTAAAAAGAAACCCAATGAAGAGAACCGATCATCACAGCTAGGTGCTTTTGATTGTGAAAGCTATGTTTAGAGAACAATTATTAATTTAATTTATTGATTTTGAATTGCTCTAAATTGCGGTCATATTTAAAATGGGAAAATCGACTTAGTTTTTTTTTCCTTCGAGATTTATGTTTTGAAACATGGGACAGTTATGCGTCCACCAGCATTATAGTTGCGGTACTTAAGAAATGTACCATTCCTATACTATCGTTAAAAGCATCACTGTCACATATACATAGGAAATCAAGCAAAAAAGTTATGAGTTTCACGACAGTATAGTTACTAATCAGTTTTCATAATCAACTATAATAGGAACCAAACGTTTCTAGCGTACCGCAACTATAACAACGTTTACCCTACTCTGGTGCTGCTAATAATACTGGGCGATTGTTTCAATAACAAAGTTTCAATGTTCTTTTTATTAAAAAAAAATGTATAAATCGTGCAGAAATTAGTATTGCCTTACTTGTTTATACTTAGAATATACACTACGGATCATTACAACAATAGCTTCGTTTGCCAAATGATCAGTGATGTTGTTTTCAAACAAATTTAATTTCCCATCATCAGGAAAACCATGCATCCTATCTGATATCGCGTGATAGTCTAAATGAGCTTTAATAGACATACCGTCAATAAGGATAGCGACTACTTTATCCTTTTCTGCCATGTTTTCCGCAGCTTTTTTTATACAGTTCAATATTTCTTTGTTGAATCCTGGAAGATTGCTTATGTTTCGATGCCATCTCATAATAGTTTTTGGGTGAGGCAGACATAGTACATTTTCTGCTCTTAACGTTTTATACGTTGATGCTGATGCTATCATCTGTCGGGTGCTAAACGTTCGAGAAACGTGGTACCGTCTGGCATGTTTTGTATGGAAAGAATTTTCTAAACATTCCAATAGTATGGAATTGTTTTTCACCATTGCGATGATCTTTTTATCGCGCTTTTGGATTTTATCTCTTTCCTTTAATTTTAGGTTTAGTCTGTGTACCTGGTCGCATTTGGTTTTATACGAAACTTTCCTACGCTGGGCAGTTCGGCGACAAATTCTGTGATGTTTTCTTTCGTATTTTAGTTCAGTTTGAAGACGTAAAATTTTCCGGTCCTTCGCCGAACAACATTGGAGTAACTTGGAGTATTCTATAATTAAAAAAAATGCAGATACAAGACAATCAACATAAGTGACGTTTAAGACGGGTTTATTTCATGTTTCTTTCAGTTGGATATTTGCCAACAAAATGTGTTGAATTTTTTGCGTTAATGAAAAATTGCGATTTGGATATTACCAATCCACTATTTTTTCTTCGCGACCATACATAAACAAACATAACACAGGAACACACCTAAACTCAAGAAAGTAAAACAAAACCAGTCAAGCCGAAAAAAAAATACTAAACTGAACACACAGCAAAAAAATGTAATATCGATCAACGTTATTCAAGCTGATGTATGAAATAATGATGTAATAGCAAAAAACAGATACAATATTACATCAGTGGATATAACGCAGACAAACAGACATAACACATTGAATATTTATCACTGTAAAACATCGTTGCCAAAACATTACCGCCATCTGTTGAATACTCTGTGGTGGGTAGTACGCTGAACAGATGGCGGTAGTGTGTAAACGTCAAACGCAAGGGAATTGACTATGCGCGCCACAGGTGGCGGTACTACCAACTACGATACTTTTAAATTGACCGTTAAATGCTTGTTCGATGAACAACTTGCGAGTGTTATGTCTGTTTGTCTGTGGATATAATTTTATTCGCAAAATCTATGTACATCGTACAACGTAATATTACACAACCGACGGAATGATCTCGGTGCAGCTGTTTGGATGTAATATTCAACAATATTTTGGCGTTGACGGCACCGTGCAAAATCGTGTTTTCTAGCAAAAATTTACAGTTTCTTACGGGAATTTTCAGTCTGACGTTTGCTAACAGCATTTTCTTTACGAGTAAACAGCTGCAGAGTATCCAGTATTTTACGATCGCTTATGGCCGATCAAATTTGATCGTTTACACGTAGAGCGACACAACCCAAACTTCAAATCTTATGTTCCCGACCAGAAAATCAGCCAGATTGTGGCGGCCATATAAGCGATCGTAAAATACTGGATATGCATAGTCTGGCGAATAGAATCTCGGGAACCAATTGAGCTGTAATTGCGGAACCAATCGAGCAAATCACGACCATGAATTTATAGATCCCCAAACTCTTTGCTGTCTACCCGCACTACAAAAGTCAACATGGCCATCAATTGGTAAGATTCCAAGAAATAACTCTCAAACAGTCACTAAGTTTATGGTATATTTAATACGCTTTTCCATATCTACTATTATAAACTATCCCATATCGGCTTGATTTCCTATTCATATGAGACAGTTATGCTTTTATGAGCAGTATACAATGTAATCATATTTTGAAAATGTATATAACATCCTATAGTCAATATTGCTTCCTTCTTCAGAAGGTTACGTAGTTAACAAACGACTTGTTATATTTTGGAGTATGTTTTGATTTGGTCTTTTGTTACATTTTTGTCAATTAATGAAACGAGGTGTTTTGTTCTGGTGAGCAAACATTTGTTTTTATTTTCAATGATGTATAATTTTTCAAAATTCCCATTACCTAACTTCTCAGGAGTGCTGCTATCAACTTAGCAAGGTATTGGTAGCGTTCCTGTTAAAAAAAATGTTTTGTTAACCAATCAATATTAAACGACCTTTTGCATTCCGTGGTTTTTTTTTTTTTTTTATTTTTTTTTTTTTTTCTTTATTATAGAGACTTTCAGCCTTAGGCTGGTTCGTCTCTTTATTTAACAGAAGAGGCATCGAAGGAGGCCCCCTTGGCAAAGCATAAACATAAGTTTTCATAACAATAATTTTTTAAAGTTCCATAAAATGAAATGTCAGGTTTAGTTGCGTTGTTCATCAAGTCAGTGAAGTTGTTAATCAAGAAACCTTAATCGTAGTCCTGTAGTGGCGCACTTTGTTGTTGTTTAGAAGTTCCCGTGGTTGATGTCAGCTAAATTCGTTCGTACAGTTTTGTGTCTTTAAGGAAACAGAGCAAAGCTGTTTCTGTTGAAGGGTCGTTAGCAAGAATATCTCTTATACCATTTTCTAGTCCGTATATTCTTCTCGAATCTTGATACTGAGGGCAAACAGCAATAATGTGTTCGACAGACTGCCGAATCCCACAAAAATCGCATAGGCTTTGATCGTATCGTCCCGACTGGAAGTGACTAATTCGTGTGTGGCCGGTTCGCAGCCTAGATAGGA